TAATAAGATTGCAAGAGTTTTTTTTAAATATATAAAAGGTAAGAGTGAGTCAAGAGTGAACATTGGATCACTGGAAAATGTGGCAGGAGAGGTAGCAATGGGAAACAAAGAAACAGCAGAGGAACTGAATAGGTACTTTGCATCAGTTTTCATGGTGGAAAATACCATTAGCATAGCAGAACTTCAAAAGAGTCAGGAGGCAGAGGTGAGTGTAGTGGCCATCACCAGAACATAGAACATAGAAAAGTACAGGCCCTTCGGCCCACAATATTGTGCCGAACTTTTATCCTAATCCTAAGGTCTATCTAATCTCCACCCCTACTTTATACTATCATCCATATGCCTATCTAATAGCTGCTTAAATGCCCCTAATGAGGCCGACTCCACTACCCTGTCCAGCAATGCATTCCACTGTTTGTGGTATACACAAACCATTTAGACTTGGATGTAAAAAGTTGATCAGTAAATTTATGGACTAGGAGAAGGTGTTGGGAAGCTGAAAGTTCGGAAGGAGGATAAATCACCCAGACTAGATGGACTACACCCCACATCTAATGAAAGATGTGCTGAAATTGGAGAGGGTCCAGAGAAGGTTTGCAAGAAAGATCCTGGGCATGAAAGACTTGTCATAAAAGGAGTGGTTAGGACTATGGGTCTGCACTCAATGAACTTCAGAAGGATGAATAAGGATCTCATTGAAACTTACAGGATACTGAAAGGCTGAGATAGAGTGGAAGTGGAGAAAATGTTTCCACTAAGAGAGACTAGGACTGAGAGTACAGCCTCAGAGTGAAGGATGACCCTTTATAACTGAGACGAGGAGAAATTTCTTCAGCCGGAGGGTGGTAAGTCTGTGGAACTCATTGTCACAGATGCCTGTGGAAGCCATGAAATTGAAAGATTTTTAATTAGACAGGTGATCAAAGGTTTTAGGGAGAAGGCAGGAGAATGGAGTTGAGAAACATATCAGCCATGATTGAATGGCAGAGCTGATTTGATGGGCCAAATGGCCTTATTCTGCTCCTACATCTTATGGTCTTAGAATACAGGAGAATATAGACAGGCTGGTCAGATGGGCTGATCAGTTGCAAATAGAATTCAATCTGGATAAGTGTGAGGTGATGGACTTGGTCAGAGCAACCAGGCAAGGAAATAAATGATCAACTGTAGAACCCTGGGAAGTGTTAAGGATCAGAGGGATCTTGGTCTGCCTGTCCACCATGGGACAATAGGACAAGTAGATAAAATGGTTAAGAAGGCATATGGGATACTTGAATCAGAGATAGTAGGAACTGCAGATGCTGGAGAATCCGAGACAACAAGGTGCAGGGCTGGATGAACACAACAGGCCGAGCAGCATCATAGGAGCAGAAAGGCTGACGTTTCGGGCCTAGACCCTTCATCAGAAAA